AATGATGTAACAGAGAAGCTCTATGTTTGAATTCAGAACACCAAGGGAATCACTAGCAAAGTCTAAAATGAAAAACAGGCCTTGGACATGCCCAGAGCCAGCTGCTACTGTCCAAAGCCCAGCTCTTTCCAACAGAGCAGCAGATCTGCATGAGCCACAGCATAAAAGGGATGGTCACCTCCTAAGGCAAGGTCAGCACAGCCCCCTGCACAGGGAGAAGGCAGCAAGCGTGTGGACTCCGCAGGCCACACATAGGACTCCTCCCACATGCAATCAAGCAGCCACACAACAGGCGAGCCTGTGAGGGTGGCTATGCCTCAGTAAGACGTTAATTCCACATGTCTGTATAATTTCATATAATTTTCTTTTGATACTTCCCAACTATTTTAAAATGTAAAAATCACTGTTAGCCCACAGGCCTTATTAAAACAGGTAGCTGCTAGACACTATGATGTATACCTATAATTCCAGAGACTCCAGAGGCCCAGGCAGGAGAACTGCAAGTTCAAGGACAGCCTTGACAACTTAGCAAGACCCTGTCTCAAAATTTAAAAAATAAATAAAAAAATAAAATGGGCTGGTGATGTAACTCAGAGGTAAAGAAACTCTGAGTTCAGTCCTGAATTCAATATAAGAATTGTTTAAAAATAAATAAATAAATAAATAAAGATTGCGGGCTTTGACCTCCTTGATTTGGCCCAAGGGCATAGTCTGTCTCCCAGCCCAGGGCCCTTTGTTTTCCTAAAGGCTGTGCTAACCCTATTCCTTTCCCCTGTATCTACATAAACCTACAAATTAGGTGCTTTCCCTTTTAGCAAAGCATTCCTTTTGCTTCTCTCAGTTACTGAAGCCCTAACCCTCCTTCTCTCCCATTGGTCCTAAAAGTCCAACTGAACAACAATGAAGACAGGGAGAAGAGGCTGCAGGAAGGTCACCAGCTGTCCACTGCTGTCCAGCTGTGTGATCTTGAGCAAGTGATGTGGCATTCCAAGGCTCCACATCACCAGCTACAAGAAAGGACTATGGCACTGAAGCTCCTGAAAGTAATAGTGCAGGAGCCACTTTCTATCAAGTAAGGCAGGTAGAAGGGAAACCATAAGCTAGGGAGAAGAACTGTCAATTACAGCTCAGAAACAAAAGCCTGCCTGGTCTTTCAGTTATGTTGCTAGGCCATGGCCGTGTCTGGGTCCCTCAGGAAAGAAAAGAAGTTATTTAAAGTTGTGGAAAAGAGAGCAACTAGTCATCTCATGGACTGCATGGCCATTTCCAGAATTCTCAGGGCGAGGTCTAGGTTCAACACACATGAACCCAGAATCTGTGCGTGGCAAAGAACAGGGCAGACATTGTGAAGAGCCTAAAAATGAATCAAACTCAGTCCTTCATGTCAAAGAACTTACAACTTCTTAAACAACACCCAGAATACAAAGCAGGTTGGATTTGTAGAAACCAACTTTATTAAGAATTTAGAAAGAAAGAGGGCCAAACAAAAGTCAAGGGAAGAATTCTCTAGGAGTGAGACTTCAACAATGGATAGGATTTCAAGAACAGACACAAAAAGTACCCTGGGAGCAGCCTTTCTCTCTTTTCCCTTCCAGCAATTTCTCCAGAGCATTGCTCTTTTCCTCTCCACCCTGTAAATTGCTGGTTTGCATTGGTAGATAGGGACAAAACTTTCCTGTCCTCCTCAAATGTACCAGAGCAAATTAAAGAGCTTATAAATGAACATGGTTGAAAAATACTAGTCTTGACAGAAACATCTGAAAACATTTCCTTCATGTTTGCCCAAAACTTGGTGTCGACCCAATTTAGATCAATAAAATAGTCAAGGTGCCGCAGAAAGCACAAACAAATCTTGATCCAGGTCTGGAATCCTGGTTGCAAAGAATTGGCCAGAATACATTCATCCCGTATTACTCTCATGTAGAACACAGAGTAGGGGAAATAAATCAGTGTCTCAACCTGATTTATTGACAGTGATAGAATCAAAGAGTTCTACCTGGGAAAGGTCTCATAAGGAAACATGTTTCACACATGATTTCTATAAATGTTCCTATAAATGATTCTAGGAGAAGTTGGGGTGGTGGTGGCACATGCCTGTAATCCCAGCTATTTGGGAGGCTGAGGCAGGAGGATGGCAAGTTTTTAGGCCAGTGTCAGCAATTTAGGTAGGCCCTAAGGCAACTTACACAGATCCTGTCTCTAAATGAAAAATCAAAAGGGCTGGGGATGTGTCTCAGTAGTAGAGCACCCTTAGGTTCAATTCCCAGTACAAAAAAAAAAAAAAAAAAAAAAAACTTCTAGGAGAAAATGAGTTTTAAACCGAAATATTGTTCAGATTCTCTCCATCTAAAAATAAAATGAAAACCAAAAGGGTACCAACACCGTTCACAGTGGAACTCTCAGTAGATGTGACACAAAGCAGAGTTCTTAACTCTGATCAACACATAGCACCAAAGCTGAGAAAAACTATATTCCAAAAATGGATAAATGTGATGAAAACACTATGTTCTCTAGTACAGTGGAAAAATGGAAAATGACTATAAATATATGCTCTTGAAAAAACAGTTGCTGCCCGGTTTGGTAGTGTTACTTGGGAGGCTGAGGCTCCCAAGTAACAAGGATGTTCACTTGAGCTCAGGAATTTGAGGCCAGCCTGGGCAACATAGGAAGAGTGAATCTCAAAAAAACAAGTTTTTGTTATTATTCTAGTAACACTATAATTCTGCGTTACTTCAGATATACATAGATTAATCTAGCCCAGCAATTCTGAAGCCTGGGCCATTTTGCTCCTCAGGACACATTTGTTCATTTTTTTTTTTTTTTTTTTGAGACATGTTTTGCTCTCACATTTATAAGTGGATACTATTGGCATCTTGTGGGCATAGAGCAAGGAGCCTTGCAAACATCCTACAATGCAAAGATCAGCCCCCAACATCTGGATCCAAATCTCAACAGGGCCAAGAAATTTTAATTTAGTCCATTTCTCAATGACTAGCTGGAAAATACTGACACATACAGAGGGTTAGAGATGAGAAGCCATCTTTCTAAATACCCACTATTAATCTAGGACCACTGAGAATCCTAAGGAAAAGCTTGATATTTGTATAGTAATTTCAATTGTAATGCCTAAGGGATAAAATAGACCACAGTCCATGATTCTGACCATGTACTCAAATAGTTTATCTTTTGCATTTAGGAGCTTACTACATAACCTGTAAGAACCTCTAATACAATAGTTGGTAATCAAACTGGCTACTGCTGGCTCCATCTATTATAAATTAACATTTTCCCACAAATTAATTCCTAACTCCCTGTGCCCAGCTACCAAGTAACCATTCCTCAGATTGTATTTAGTCTTTTGCTGAGAGAAACATTCATATCTGAAATTCCCTTTCTCTGATGTTACAAAACTTTAAAAGTTGAGTGTCCAATTTCATGAAAGTTAAAATCCAGAATGGGGAAGAAGCCAAATCTTGACTTTAAAGGCAACTACAAAAGGAAGGGTTGGTAATGAGGTGGAATAAAATAATACAAGGGCTGCAAGAGACTCTCTAAAAATAACAAAGCCCTCAGTGGTTATTTTATTTCCCTATAAAAGTTTCCTTGGGTGTTTCAGCAACAACAAAATAGTTTCTGGGAAAGTTTTTTAACTTTTTAAATTTTTATGTTTTGCCTCCATTTCTGTTTGCTAGATGTTACACTAAGTGAATTATTTTTTAAATTATGACAAAATTTAGTTCACATTTAGAGAAATCATACATGTTCAAATACCCATTTCTAAACCATCAGTATTCGTTACAGAAAGGAAAGCATTCTGTAACTGACAGAAATCCACCTGAGTTCCCGGTTTCTCAGGCTAACAAAGCAAGTACTGTTCCATGGGAATGTAGAAAGATAGGCAGATTAGACTGCTTGAGTTTTCCCAAACACCTGAAGATTAAGACAAACCACTGCTCTTTGGATTGCCTGGTCTCTACACCAAATATCACTTTCTAAACAACCCTGAAGTTAAAATGTCTGTCCTTAGGCTTATAGAAAACTCAAGCCCCCAAAAAAGCACTCAATTAACTTAAGTGGGTAAAAACATGCCAAAATGATCCGCCCCCACCTCCCAAAAAAAAAAAGGCATATCGGAAGGTCATTTAAATGCAATATCCAGTTTCAGAGAGTTGAGCAGAAAGGTACAAAAGTGAAAAACTCCAAGGATTTCTCCTTTGCATCAAATGCAGCAGAAGAGTGTTTAGACAAGCATGTGCAGAGTCTCTCTTGGCTAAACGTAAAATATTTTGTTTTACATGAACATAACTGCACTATTCGCTGCCGTTTCAGCTTCTGAACACAAGTAACAGCCAGGGCTGAGGATAAGGGTGGCAAAGAGGAGAAGATATGTCCACAGTCTCCTCTCCAAATCCCAAAGGAGGAAAGCTGCCTCCTGGACGTGCTGGGTGGCCAGGAAGCCTTTCAGAAAACAACCAAGGTTTTTGAGCATTGATTTTGGCAAGAGATAGGTGTTACCAGCAGCTTTCTAGGGCACTGGAAGGAATGTGTCACCATCAATTAGAAACTACACAGAGTCCCGTGTTTAGGTCACAAAGGGAGTACTGCCTGGTCCAGATAAAGCATGCCAAGCAGCAGAAAGGAGAGCAGAAGCAGGAAAGGTGTTGGAGTGTCCAGGGATTCCTAAGACCAAAAGGAAACCCCAACTTAATTCCGAAGCACAATCTGGGCGCGCTCAGTTTACAGAGAAACTCCCAGAGAAGACGAGGGTGAGTGTTCCCTCACTTGCACGGGTTTCAGCGCCTCCCGGGTGCAGTTCTGGGGATGACTTCAGCTGTCCTGGGGCGGAGGGTCAGTCTACCCCACTCACCTTGGCGGTCCTGAGGAGGAGAGATAGGCCCTCCCCTACTCACCTGGCAACCTTATGAAAAGGGCGGGAAGATCAATGGACCGTCCATCCCACCCAGCCCCTCGGGGCAGCGGCGGACTGCGGGGTTGCTCACCTGCCCGGATACTAGAGGGCTTCTCCGAGTTGGCACCAAGACAAGGATTCCAGGGGTGGAGGACGAGCGCTAGCAGCAGCAGCAGCTGGGACTTCACGGTGCACCTCCCCATCTTCCGCCCCTGAAGGGCCCGCGCCGGCTGCGGAACCCCCTCTGCCCAGCAGCGGCGCACTTCTCGCGAGAACGCAGCGACCCCCTGGTCAGCCCGAGGCTGGCGATTGCGGACCCCAGCGGTCCTGCAAGATGGGCCCACCCTGTGGCTGCAGCCCCAGCGCGGAGAAAGCAGACAGGGCCGGGCAAGGCGGAGGCGCGCAGCCGCGGGCGCCGGGACCTTATAGACTCCCCAAGGGGGAGGTGACAGGGCGGGCCGCGCCCTGGCTATTGGCCGCCTGCTGACCCGCCGCCGCTGCGGTCGCCTGTGCTGGCCCCCCGGGCTCCACGTCTGGGATTGTTTGCTCAAGTCGGACCCTATTTAAAGCGCTGTCTGCGGCTACGTGTAGAGGCTCACGCAGCGCTGCTGGCTGGAACAGAGGACCTTGTACTTTGGTTTGCGAGTGGGCTGGGAGAGGGGGAGGAGTCCCCCGGAGCCGGGCTGGCGGGCAGCGCCCCCCTCTCCCACGCTCTCGGCTGCCTGCGCGCCAGAACCTTCCACCGCAGCCCCAGAGGCTGAGGGTTTGCTCTTCTCGGACCTGTAGGCTCCCCCGCAGTCAGGGTGACAGCAGATCCGCTGTGATCTTAGCTGAACCGGGTCTTGCCAAGCCCTAAGCCATGGAAAGGGTCCCCCGACCCTTTAATTCAGAGGGCCGGCTTCACCACCCTGTAAGGGGAAGACAGTGTTTTTATTTTACTCTGTTAAACAGAAACTTTATTGCCAGTGAACATCATACACCGCTAGGGCCATGAGAGCTGCAGACTCTTTCCAGCAACGAGGCTTGTAAATCCCGTGGAATCGGAGCCCAGCGTGTGTAAGCTCGGGCTGTTTCCTACAAGATCTCCCTCCCGTCCACATGGAAAAATACTCAGTAAGACCTCTTCCAGCACAGGCTCCGCGCTCCTGGGCGCTCCCACATTGCTTCCAGTTTTGACAAATGTCTGACTATGTTCCTTCTTTTCTCTCTTCTCTCACATTATAGCTAACCCAGGGTTTAAACTATTGAGGTGAGCAGGGGCCAATGTACAGATGACAGCAAAAGTTTGATAACTTTGCTTCATACGTTCCCTGCCATGGGAGAAAAGAGAATCAAAGTCATTACAGATTATAATCTTCCACCTAAATCTTCCCGAAACTTGGAAAAACAGACTCTGAAACCAACACCCATTCTAACTCAGAGCTTTTGAGATTAAAACAAAAAAAAAAAAATTTATTTTAAAAGATATATTCCGTTATGATCACATTTTGTCTAAAATCAACATAATATTATGATAAGATAAATATCAATGGACAGATTTAAAATCAAGCAGAGGTGTGGAGTTGTAGTTTAGCAGTAGAGCACATGCTAGGCAAACAGGAGGCCCAGTGTTCAATCCCATGGAGGGAGGGTGTGGAGAGGAGGGGAAGGCAAGGAAGAGGGGAAGAAAAAAGAAAAAAATCAGAAAGTAAAACCTGTTAAGATACCTTGCCTAGGAGTGACATTTTAGAAGAAGAATCATTTCCTGTGCCTAGAACTGAGCCAGTTATTACTGTGTTTTGAAGTTCTGATTTTAGATTTTTAAAGGACAAGGAACACTGGAGAAAGTTCAGAGAAGAGTAGAAATAATTATAAGAAATGGAAATTATGACCTGGGACAGAAATGTAATACGGTTTATTTAGTCTGAAGAAGAAAATGTGGAGAGAAGGATTCCTTAATAATATCCTTCACCGGGTAGCAAGGGCAGCTGAGAAAACTGTCCTCAGAGTCCCAATATCTTAATAGGAATGGCTGGAGATTTGGCCAAATCTCCATAATTCTACATCCGTCTCTGCTGAATTCCTTGAACTTCACTTTTGATTCCTGAGTTCTCCAGTATCTTGGAGAACATGCATGGCTAGAATCTGGAATTCTGCCTTCCCACACCTCCTCTTTCCCCATGCACAGGTGCACATATTCTAACTGTAATGTGTGCCTGTCATTGCGGGTTACTATGACCTTCCTTTTTCTCTGTTAAGAATCACAAGCTCAAGCCTCCAAGGCTTGTGTAAAGCAAGTTCTTCTTTAGGATTTTTGAAATAGCCAGATGCTTCAATGATCCTCTGAAAGTGCCCGAATTCTGAAACCAAATTCTTCCTGCCTTCTTATAAATTGCCTGTCCAGTCGTCTGTGGAACATTTCTACTTGGATCTTCCATTGGCAGAACCACACTGTGTATTTAACTCACCAAACAAGAGCCGGTTCCCGGATTCTTCATCTCTGTTAATGATACTTCTCTATCACTCATCTGACTTCCGACATTTTTTTTTTTTTTTTTTGGTCTTTTTCTGCCCCCCACCCCCAGACATCTGTCAACTCATGCAGCTGGACTCTAAATCCTGTCATTTTTTTCCCCTTCACATTTTATCTCTATTTCTCCCTTTCCATTATCACTGTCACCTCACTAACTGATGCACTCTCAAATGTATCCCAGGGGTAACTCTTGGGTTCTTCTGTAACCGGCAGTCCACCCTGTAGACTATCCCTTTCCCCAACCCAGTACCACTGCATGAAACAGCTAGATCAATTACATGGATCATACTCAGTTATCCTTTTGATTACTTCACCTCCAAACTCAAAGGTTTCATTAAGTATTTAGAAACAATTCGAATTCCTACAACTCAAATTCTTTCACTATGAAACTAAAATCATCTTTTTCTAGATTCTAGACCCAACCAATCTGGTTTACTTTATTATCTCTCTAATTGTTCACTGTCATTATTCTCAAGAATCTGGGTAGGAATCAATGTCTTTATTTGACTTCCTCCAGAGGCCAATCCAGAGCCAAGATTCAAGGAACAGCAGTTTGTGGGATTTTAAAGGAAATCATGTTATCAAGGTAGAGTGGCACAGGAAAGGGAAGATGGCCAGGACTGGAGGCATGTGTAAATCTAATGCAGTGGGCACCTAGAGCTTAGTCCTAAAGAATTGATATACAGATTGTCCCTCAAAAGTAGCTTGCCCAGGGAGCAAGAGAACTAGAATAAATATATATCCCCCCTAAGACCAATTGGTGGTTGATTTAAGGGCTCAGGTGCACTCGTTAATTCCCAGGCATTCCCAGCCTTCTCTGCTCAAAGGTGTATCAGCCCTTCTGTGATGTTCTCATCTTGACCATGAGAAGCCAGACTGGCTTGCTGGAAGTGAGGAGGGAGGTAGAGAAACGAGAGTTGCACCAGCAGCAGCTGCTGAGTCCCCAGGCCTTTTTATAAGAAAGACCCAAGGACCTCTTCTCCTCCCTTCCACAGACCAGCATCTCCCAAGCTCAGGGGTCACCTCCTACACCACACCTTATTAGAGGATCTTGCCTGACTATAGAGAGGTTAGTGTTCTCCATTATGCTTTCTAAATCCTTTAGCAAGTCTCTCTCCTCTGTGACAGTTTATTAGATACTTCCTTAAATATCAGAGAAAAGGAGAAAAAAAAAACTCTCTTTATGGAGCATTTACTCACCAGTGAGGAAAGAGATGATAAAGCTATATGGTAATGAGTTATACCCAGAAAGTGAATCAGGAAATGTAAACAGAAAGGACCAAGAAAGAGGGGGTAGGCTGAAACCCTAAGGGCCCTGGGAGGCCCCACTGAGAAGATGGTACTCAAGCAAGGCCACAGTGAGAAAAGAGGTGGCTGCACTCTGTGGGGGAGCTATGATCCAAGCAGAAGAAACAGGGATAGGCAAGGACCCTGAAGCCAGAATATATCTGGAGTGTTGTAAAAAGGCAAGAGGTCAAGGAGGGTCCAGGGATTGTGGGTAAGAAGAGCAAGGCATGAAGCCCAAGAGGTCAAAGCAGGACAGAGGCAGACAGGCGCAAAGATAGTCCTTTACTAACTTTGTCCTTTTCTCTGAATGAACTGAAAACTGTTTGGATAATTGTGAACAGAGTAGGAGCCAACTCTGAAGGAGGGTCTGAAAGGGATCAGATCCCATCTGCCAGGTTAGAGGAGGGATGGAAAAATGATACCCAAAGCCTGGAGACCAATCTGAAAGCTAATGCCATGGCCCAGCCAAGAGATGGTGACATTAACCAGGTTGTAGCCATTTCTAGGGAAGTTTGAATGTACAGCCAACAAAATTTGGTGGTTCGAAAGTGGGTGTATGAGGGAAAAAAAGAATATTTATTCAATGAACATCTGTGGGAGAATGAGCAATTATCCTTAGAGAACACATGTAATAACTATGGGGGTGGACAAGGAGGGAAAAGCTAAATGAAATAGATGAGATGGAAAAACAACTAGACAGGCCAGAATGGACACTCAGAGATAGCAAACCAATTTGGGGAGAGAGAAAAAAAAGTCAAGAAAGGAGTTTGACAAAGTCAGAAGCCTGGGAGAAGCTCATTGATCTCTAGCATTAGGAACACAAGCTGAACATCCAAACTTTGGGTAGGAACAGATCTAAAGATGAGGCAGGGTGCGTCCTGTGAAGCACAGCTTTCACTCAGTGACTCTACAGTCTAAATCCTGTGTGCGTCAGGGTGCGGCCATTCTAATTTTAGGGTGATCAAGTTGCCACAAAGCTGAAGCTGCCCTTTATATATGAGAGGTTTGTAGCATCCTCCGTGGGCCCCAGCAATTTCCTTTTTAAATTCCTCAAGCTGTAATTTGAAGGGAATAATTTACCAGGTGACTATTTCTAGGTTGGACATCCTTTCAAACAAATCCAGTATGAAGATGTTAACACAAGAACGGCCAAGTAGATTTCTTCATCAAGGAATTCAGTTACTTCTCACAGGAGCATAGGTTTTCCTCTAAGATATTTTACTGCTGTGATTCCCGATTTGTCTTTGGGAAAAAAATAAGCACCCTTTAAACACACACACACACACACACACACATATCCTGGTTTCTCATTCAACACTTCTAGACTAAATATCGCTTTTTAAACCTTGATTATATGTTTCAGCCATCTTAGCATGCTCATCTGGAATTTTTCCTACATAGACGTGAGTTGTGAAATCCTTGTACCTAGGAAAATGATGTCAGATGTAAAACGAAACTCAGCCAAGTTCAAATAAAATGTGCAGGCCAGGATCACACTCAGAGCCAGTTAGTGCACAAGGACTCTAAAG